GTTTCTACTTTCTGTAAGCTCAGTACTAGATAAAGATTATCTATTTTATTTAACACTGGCATCCTAGAGAATCATGTCACTCTTACTGTCTCCAAATAAAAATATTTTAATTGACTATTGAATGTTTCTGAAATTATGTTATCTAAGGTATTGGCTATTTAATGTACAAATGTTAATAAGATTTTGGAATGAGGCTGAATCGAATTAAAAGCTGAATACTTCTCTTCAACAGCCTCTCAATGTACTCAGCTTCAGAATTTATGTTTTTCAAATAAGGTGTCAGACTTGTCTGTGTAATTTCTTCTCTGTCTACTTCAGGACCCTATGGACTCTACACCTTCTACCTACAGAGCTTATTTGTCCAGAACAAAGGTAAAACTTTGTTTTAAACAGGAATTAAACAAACAAAAGGCATAGGAAAACTCTTAACAGCCAACACATTTCTATCAGTTTCACTCCTCGGGGCAACAACTTCTCAAGGCTACTTGGAGAAGTGCAATGCCACCAGCACATTTTCAAGAATATAGCCAGAGACAATGGAAAATAGCCCAGCAAAATTACATCCCAAATGACAGTTCAGTATTCGTACTAAATTCAGTGAATCTGAAATTAAAGACAGTGGTGTTCTCCAATCTCCACTCAGTGGGCTACTTGGGACATGAAGAGATGTATTTATACAGAAAAAATGCAAAGGAGCTCAAAGCATTCACTATACAAGGAAACTCATTGTTATGAGATTGCTTACTTTTTTTTCTGATGCCAGCCACATGAATATATTTCTCAGCTGAGAACTGGGTTAAAAAAAGTGCTCTAATAACAGCAAATCAGATAAGGGGAGGCTATGAAGGAATATAGTTATTCTAGATAAGCTAAGTCTGTTACCAAGATTTTTTAGCGCTGGCAGATTTCTGACATCCTCTTTATCACAATAATAAAAGACAAACAAAAATCCCTCTGTGTTAGACTATCAACAAGTACAAAATAATTCGGAAGTGTATTAGACATACAGGGACATATTTGTGTTGCTGATCTGTCTGGAAGGCCTCCAAAAAAGCCAGTTGCTTGATGTAGGTCAGCCAGAGTACAGAGCTTTGCATGACAAAAGAAACCACAATGCAGTCAAGAAGCAGGTGGGTATTTTGCCCTTTATTCTCCATTGGCCTTTGTTCTATTTTTGAGCTTACTTTACTGCTGTGGTGGATTTTTTTCTCCTTTGGATTTAATTAAAGTCTCCTTAGGCTTGCTAGCTTGACATTTTCTTCTTCTCCTTTTTTTTTTTTTCTTCAATTTAAAAATGAAGGAAGCCTGTTTACCAGGCCAGTTTTCCCTAAATCTCACAGCTTTACTTATAATGTAAATGTGTAATTAATGCACGACATCCAAATAATTTCTGAATTTTGATCAGGTAGGTATAGCAAGTTTTCCAATTATTTTGAAGCTGATTATCACCCATTATGTAACATACACATGGTTTTCACAGCTGTGCAGTAACAGAAAAATCTTAGTTGGCATCTAAGCCTAACAGTATTTAGCTCTGAACTGGATAATACTGAAAGTGTCTGATGTTGGCTGCCAGGTGAGAACTGGGTCCCTACTAAAATTCAGAAGACATTTTGCTGCTTTCGTTGCAGCCAAGATTTCAGTTTGTCACAGACTGCAAATATGAATTCCTTTTCTCTTTGCTTTTCCAATTTTCTTCTCCCACACAAATCAATCTTACACTCATTCAGCTTTATTAGATTTACTCTCAAATCATTACTGCTGCAACTGAGAACAGAATCAGACCCAGCAATGCACTTCACCTTTAAAATTATTAGCTGCATACTATACAGTCTCCCATTTCTGTCCATCTATATATGCTGACTGGAGAACTATATGCTGAATTTGCACAAGTTGTACAACAGAGTCCCTTAGTTTTATAACAAGGACTGCCCTGATTAGAGAGAACCTTATAAAGACAGAGCACCACACTTGGATAATTCACGTGCATAGAATCCACATACAGACCCAAAGTTATTGACCAGGCAGAGTAAGTTTTTCTGATCATCACACTGTGCATTTTAAAAAATAAAGTGCTGCTTGCTTATGGCTAAACCTTATATGTCACTATTGCATGCACAGTCCAGGCTACATTGTCAAAAACTGGAACACCTTTACCAAAAACGATGGAGCCTAAGTGCTAGGGCAATGAGAGTTTTGGTTAGTTTTGGTTTTGGTTTTGTGTTTTCTTTTCCATTTTATTTTGCGTTCCAACAGAACTTTTGTCAAACACCAGAGCACGTGAACACACAACAGTTTCCTTCACTGTTCCCCCCACAGAGCTGTTCACAGAAGAGGAATACTAAGGAGGAATGTTTCTAAAGCCATAAACATCTTCTCCGTTTATTTCAGATTTTGTTTTGTGGTTTGTTTCTTTATTGTTGTTTGTTTATCTTATGTTTAATGTTATGACAAAACATTATAAGAAAATCTTTTTTAAGTAGTGTGAATATCAAATAGTCTCTGTCAGTCCCTGAATCATGCTATTCAAAGTGCTTAAATCTACACTAAAAATAGAACAACAAAAAAGTACTCCCCATGTGGCTAAGGAAACACCTACCAATTGTCTAAATGTGACTGTGGTCAGATAATTATGTCCTACATTTGTTCCACATCCCAGTCTTTACCCCAGGGCATGTAAAGGGGAGGGAAAGGGGGAAAAAATAATGCATTGCTTTCAGAGGATACTGGGGTATTTGGCATCCAGATGAATGAAGGAAAATGCCATCAGTGCCTGACAGGTGTCTGTAAGAGCAAATAAATAACAGCTTTCTTACACTAGGAAAATAACCAAATGTGCAAAGCTCTCTGAAAACTTTATCTGACCTGGCAGCTTCATTTCCATTTTGTGGATGTTTGGCACATGTCCAGAGGAGAGACACCATAATAAAGAACAGATTGTAGAAAAGGACATGAGCAAAATCTCAGAGAAATAAACATTTTAAACAAATAAAAACCAATGCCCATCTCAAAGGTCTATTAGTTTCTTATGCAGATACTGAGATTTCTTGACTTTCACAACAGGCTCATAGTAATTTCCTCCCACACTGTCAGCTCTAGATTACTCCCCCAGACATCCCCCAAACTGCAGTTTTGCCACTCACTTCTCATTAAGATAACCAAAATATTATAAGCTATACTTTTCTGATTGTAACAATCAGGATGAACAAACCCCACACATCATTATATCAGCCAATCCCATTCAGCTGCCATAAAAATGCCCAAAGCTCATTAATTACATAAATAGACTGTAAGGCCTGTTTGCCAGGACACCAGTTACATTTCTGCCAGGGTAAATCAAACCCATGACTATATGACAGTGTGCTGCAGCCAGAAACTCTACCACAGCTCCTCTGCTTCTGCTAGCAGGGGACTAGCAGAGTTTGGCCTGAATTTGTGGTAGAGCTGCACCACTCCTCTCTCTTTCTAAAACCAGAAAGGACTTTTCCATTATTTAAAACATAAGAATGAGTAAGGTGCTTATTTAATTAGTCTTAAAGATGTCTGGATGTAAACACAGTGGTGGTTTTTTTTTTTCTTCCCTGTCAGCCATGGTACATGCATTATTTGCAAATTCTCAAAGATAGAATCATACATAAAAATAAAACTAATTTATTTATTCATTAAAGTGAATAAATTGGTTTTAATACTTCCAGGTCTGATTTAAATACTAATTTTGTATAAATAAAGTATATTCTGAAAACAATTATATTTCTGGTATTCATGTAATTTTTTTTCTGCCTGAGTTCTTACTGAATTCATGTTGAAAATAATAAAGTTTTATTTATCATTACAAGCTAAACCAAATGAAAGAAGAATTCTTAATCCTGAATATATCATTTTAAAGCAAATACAGTTTTTGGAACATTAAAATACAAGGGGACTCTGTAATCCACAGCAAAATAATGTTTTGCTCTTATTTTTTTAGAAAATAATACTTTCTATAATACAAAGTGACAAACCATCTACAATACTGTCTTTTTATTCCCCTTTGGTTTGGAAGTCATCACTGTACATATCAGCAGGACTCTCTGCATGTCAGTGCCTATTGCCTCACTTGTCTTGCCCGACATTTGCAAATGATCTTATTTGCAGGATTTTGAAAGGGGCAAAAAAAAAAAAAATCCTTAAAAAATGAAATCCACAACCACATGAATCATTTTCCAGGATGTGTTAAAAATAGGGTTTGCTTTTGTATTTATAAAAGGGATACAATCAACTCAATCTTAAAATATTAATTAAAAAAAATTCAAACAAACCCAAGAAAGCAAAAACCAAACCATCTCTAGTTTCTACACACTCTATAGTGACTACTGTGAAGCAACCGATACAGATTGGGTATATTCTGTTGTTTGACAGGTATCTACCAAGTTACATGTTAGATGGTCAGACTGTAGTGTTACCCCAAATGGGGCCTTTGTAAGGGCAGGGAAGGAGCAGTGCACATTATGAGAGTAGAAATGAAACTGGAGCTCTCAGTGAGGGATGGGGTCCTTCTAAGAACAAATATTCTCCAAAAGAGGTGAACTGCAGCAGGCATGGCCTTCAGGAATCAGGCTAGGCAGGCCAACAAAATGAATGGTGCTTCTGATATCAACATAGCTTTGTCCAAGCATTCCCAAGAGAGGTTAAAAACAAACAAACAAAAAGTCTAAAACTATACTAATGAAGCAAAAAGGTTTCCTATCTATACAGCAGTCTCTTCATTTAAAAAAATGTAAATATACAAATTCCAATGACATATAAAACAAAGTCGAAAATGTGAATGGGAAGAGACATGGGTAAAACAGGAAGACTGATGCTACAAAGAAATTGCAAAAACATATGTACAAGACCCTGTTTTTCCTCGTATGTTATCGATTGTAATGCATGTTTAACAGCAGCAGTCGAGGATGTAGTTCCAGGCACCAGACTGCAGACTCTGCTCCTACTCAAGGGGTTGATGGCCCCTTGCATTTCGGTCACCAAATGACACTGGATATACTGGTCTCCCGTGGCAAGAGGGGCAGGATGGCACTGTTTGTGTGAGCCTCTTCCGGATTCTGCTCCCTGTTAGTTTTTGTCTGCGGCCGCTGCCCATTTATGAGTGTCATAGGGATGTTGCAGTAGGTGTGCTGGTTACCGATTGAGGTAAGCGGCAGGGTGCCGGTAGGAGGTACATCGTATTCATAGCTTCGATAATAGTGTTTCTGGCGCATCTGTGAATGATATGTGTTATGAAAGGTGGAGCGCAGGTCTGGATGGGCAGTGGCAAGAGCAGTGGAGGTGGCAGCAGCCATGGAAATTGCAGAGACTGTCTGCAGTTCCCCAAAGGGCCCCTGCTCACTGACATCTAAAACCTGCTCATTTGTGATGGGTTCAATCCTCTTAAAAGGCATTTCGTACTGTAAACGTTTCCAGAACTTGGAATTCAACTTGTTGCATTTTGGTCCATGCCATTTAATGACAGTGAGGAGCTTGATGGTGTGTTTTAGGGCCTCGACCTCCTGGTAGTTCATAACTCCTCGTAGTTCACTGCATTCAATCAGTATCACTTTGATTTCTCCCGTGACTAACATATTTCGAAGCCTTGTTTCCAGTTCAAAGATGCTCCAACCTCTTCTTACCACATAACTTGGAGTCATGACGATGATCAGTCGCTTGCTTTGGTCTACACATCTTGCCACATCTTCGATATAGGCTACAAAACAAAACAATTGCTCAAAAACCAATCTAAGAAAACAGGCTGCTCTCATAGACTGGTGAGAAACAACAGAGGCAAACCCCTGCTCCCAGATCTCACTGAAATATGCAAAAACATCACTTGCAAATGTGCCAGGCTGGCTTGGCAGAACATGGTCCTAGGCAGCCTGCTCTATATGGCCCTGCTTGAGCAGGGAAGTTGGACAAGATGGTCTTCAGAGGCCCCTTCCAACCTCAACCATTCTGTGATCCTGCAAAACATCTATTCCCATATGTGCTATGGATTGCAAGTGTTTGTTCATAAGCTGTAGTTTTGTACCATTATCTGTATCGTTATTGACACAAGTGTGTCCATCACGATTTTTCCTTTAAAAAGACTAAATCACCAAGGTAGACCACAGAGCAGCAGCTGTGTGCTTCAGGAGCTCAGTCTCAAACCCAAATGACACTCTAAGGTGTATAGTAGGCTTAGATTCTGCTTTTCCTTTCATTCCCCCACCACACACATTCACGAAAATAGTACTGTCTCCTGTAAATTAGTGTTTGCTGTAGATTTAAAAAATATCCATGTGATCGTTTGATGCTGTGCTTTGCCTATACCAAGCATCCTTTCTTTGGTAAAAGATATTGAATTTAGTAGCTCTCTATATGGTCATACTGAGGTTATAAAGAATACTACAACAGCTTACAAAACATTACTGTACTTGTGTTGGAATAGGTGAGAGAAATGTGAAAAAGATCTACTTGTACCAGCTGGAATCAATTCTAATTTTCAGTCTCTGAGAATGATCAAGTACCTTCACTATATATTTATCTGCAGTGGACTCTGACAGAATTCACTTCTTTTCTCTGATGTAGATGCTATCACTCAATCATTGCCTTAGTCAAAACACAACTTTTTCCTTCCTGCCTGAATTACTGCAGTACTTAGAATCATGGACATCTTTCCAAGCAACTCTAAATAACTGAAAACAAAGAACTGTATTCATTCCTAGAGATGCAAGCGCTCAAAAAAAAACCCCCAAACCTGTGAAAAATGTTAGTCTCTTTCATTTCTTTTACTTATGCATGTCCTTTCTGCACTGTCTCACCTTCAATCAGAATAATACAATTGCTAAATAATAATCTTCTTATCTGAGAAATACACATTAAGTATATTGGGTGGCTTACATTTACTCTTCTCTAAGACAAAAGAGGAAAGATGACGTTCTGAAGGAGCAGGCATAGAAATGAGATGTAAAGAATCTCTGCACTTGCTGTTAGAAGACACACAAGAATAAAGATGACTTACTTCCTGTGGGAATCAAATCTCTGTCTGGTATGAACAACTTGTACCCATAATGCTTTTCAAGCATATCTGGTAGAATCTCAAGAGCAAATCTTTCTTCTTCTCCAGTTTCTTGATTCCACTGGTCAGGATCCACTTTGGTATAAGATAGATATGCATCATAGTCTTTGTTGTCTAAGGAAAGAAAGAAATGTTAATTTATTCAACACTCTTGCTGTTTTCCCAGATAGTTCTCCAGGTCTTATTTCTGTGAGAATTTTCCAGGAATAGGAAATTGTTTAGATAAAATGGCAAGCTTTCACCCAATCTCCAGATATGAATCCATTTAGCTTCCCTGTTTCACCTGGTAGAGGTAATCCTTATTTACACAGTTGCAAGGAGGGAGGGATCCACATCCATAGACAGAAATCAGTTTGTGCATAAACATTTGTGTAAGAATCCAGATGAAGGAAATCCACTTAGCTGCGGGGTGACAGCTCATGAGCACAAAAGTCACTGAAAAGAATTTGAATTATTTTCTAGCTTTAAGAGGGGAAAGAATAGCAAGGAAATGCCTAAGCTAATGTGCAATTGTCTCAGCTGCATAGTAAAAACATTTCAGTCTTGCCAGATTTTTACTGTCAAATTAGGACCTGGGGCTGAAATGTTCTAAGTGTATGTGTAGCTTTCCTTGTAAAATTCGTTGGCTTCCCAGATCTGAAATTATTGCCAAGCTTAAATCTTTGCAGCATCAGCTCCTGATAATGCAGTTTAAGTCTCTTGAAATCCGTGCACTTAAATTTGCAAATTTAATGTTGCATTAATGTACATTTCGTGACTTAACAGAGTGTTACTTCATTTCAGTATGAGAAATAGCCGTGCCTGTGTTTTAAATGTGCTTTGCATGCCTACTTGAAAGACTGAATCAAAAGAGGCACTATTAATTTTCATTAGGAGGTCAATAATGCCAAGTGCTCTGGAACTAATTCAGTGGAATAAGAGGTCATGATTTGACTTTTGTTGTGAAGAAAGCAGAGAAAATCAATGGCAAGAGTAATGAAATGTTAACATCCTTCTAACTCTCTTGACAACATTATGCACAGACTACTGAGAATATCAATTGCTTGTAAAAGAGATCTGATTGAATACTCTAAATACTGTGTGTCATAAGTAATGTTATATTCAGTCAATGCTGACTTGGGTTATTTATTGAGCCACTCCTTTCTTCATTTTCACCTTTTTATAGTCTGGTAGCATTATTTAGAAAAGCCTGCCAACTGTAGGGTGGGTGCAAAGAGTATAAATGGAGTTAATGAAACGGTGCTAATCTTGAACAGCCCCTCTCCCATCTGAGGAACCATGCATACTCTGCTCATTAACATTTGCAGATGACAAAACAAACTTGGCTGCACTGTTACTGCTTTCAAACTTTCCAATTCCATTACCACGTGCTCATTCTGTCCCCTGCATGTTTTTTTGTGTGATAAAACCAACAACCATAACAAAAACATCAAAAAAACCCTAAGGCAAAGAGAAGCACTGCCTTCCATGGTTCTGACTTTCCATTATTTTTCTTTGGAGTATTTTTGAAAACATGTTCTTTAATGACAGACAAGCACCTCAGGTCTCCAACAATGCTTTAAAATGATACAGATTGGATCAAGTATGAGATAGATGGAGATTATATAGCAGGTTTTTGTTTCTATGGTAGGACAGTGTTAACCCAGCAAATGAGTTAACACACAGTGAAGTCAACAAATATGTGGGGAAACTGCTGCTGCTGCAATGCCATTTTCTATTGTCACCTCAGTAATGGTCATGACAATAGTACATGCTTGAGAGCAGTGTTGCTCAGTTGAAAGTCTTACAGATGAGAATGTACTGTTTCTCAAAAGGATCAATAATAAGAAATATTGAAGAATTAAAACTGTTTTAAAGGCTCGGAGTATTGTTTGTTAAGATTGTTTGCACATTCTTACTTGGAGGGAAAATTATTTGTGCTATGCCATTGTTTTATTGCATTCATTAAAATCACACTAATGCATTTATTTGAAGTACACTTTTTTTTATATCACAGAAGCTCCAGCATTTACACTAACTACAACTGCATTATTCTGCATTGCAGGGAACATTTATTTTCTCCCTAGTTTTATTAGTATTTGAAGAGCAAAGAATGGTCAGGACCTAGGGTATGTCTACACAGATGGGCTCAGGCAATCATGAATTTATTCAAACTCCAATTCAGCAAGATGTGCAGTCTGGTTAGGGAAACTGTTAGATGCATTATCACAGTGGTTTCCCTGAGCTCTTATACTCCCCATCTGCCAGGTGTTTTTTTTAAACTTTCTTTGATGAAAAGTAAAAAGTTCAGTTTACAGCAGAGCTACTTTATGTGGTAATTTTGTTATCTGATGGGCTGACATACTGGCATAAGCAGACAATTTGCAAAACGTAAAATGCGTGGGATACACAGGGGATGTTCACATATGCCTTTGTTTTACTTCTGTGATGTTTATGTATTAGCCTGCTTTTGGTTAATTAAAAGTATTTGTTGTACATTGTCAACTCTGGAAAACACTTTAAGAACCACAGCAGGTTCTTCTCAGTTAAATGGTCCTACCCTACTCCTTCTAATGGGTGGGACTGATGCTTACATTCTAACAAACATTTCTGATCCTAATTCATGTTGGGTTTTTTGTTAACTATTGAAATAAAACCTAAAGTAGACCTTGCATGGCCAAATTCAACCAGACTTGATGCAAAAAATTTCTTTGTTATGGTACTGTAGAAAACCATGAGAGCATGTGGAAACTCTGGATTAGTTCAGCACAATGGGGTCAAATACAACGTGTGCTCAAGGTGTGATGGATTCAGTCCAAAAATGTTTCAGTCAGCCCAAAGCTACTGGTCCTGCAAGACTCAGGGCAAAACAGACTGAGAGTTACAAACTGCCATATCATTTTAACTGTTCTATGGAGCTGAAAGAGAAGATGCTGAGTAATGGTCATGAAGTTGCACTCAGCCACAGGTCTGACAAAATTGTTTGGCTATACCTTAAGGGTGAACACTGAGGGACAAATTTCAGCTTCATTAATAACACATGGAAACAATACTTCTCTTAGTGGACCAGGATTTTAGCCAAAGCAACTGTTGCATCATTACAACATGCATTCTTTAATGCTGTCCATTCCTTTTGGTACTCATCCAAATGCAGGATACATTCTGTAACTTTCTACAGTGTTAATCCAGTGGAAATGATATAAATTTTTAGTGGATGAAGTTGCAAATGCTGCTTGTTATTCCAAGGATGTGCTCAGCAGCAGTCACTTAAAGGCTCAATGTAAGCATAAAATGAAACCCAGACTCTATATGCATCTACTTTGTCACATGCAAATGGGATCTTTGGGTAAGTAAATTGCTATCAGACATCTAAGAACTCATCTGTATGCATGTTCTCTTAACAGCTACACATGAAGAAATGATAAGCTGGTGCCTACAGAAAGACAGATAAAACTTCCTCTACTACAGGGACCACCAAACAGATTCAACTTTAAATTTGCATTATAGATGTACATGTTTTCTAATGATTTCCATGTTGCACTGCAAAAAGCCAACAGTTTGGGCCTTTGGGGGGTTTATTAAACCTTAAACATTGCAGATATTTCTTCTAATGGAGGCCAGAGAAATTATATATGCATGAAAAATTAAAAATAGTGAAAAAATCCTTCCTAGAGTCAGTTTTTGGTATCAGCCATATTCGAGCTGATGACAAATTCTGACTTTTAGCTGGCATGATACATTTCAGCAGAAGACAGGTTAATAGATCAAAACAAAAAAAAAAAAGTCTTTAAAAAAATGTGCTGTGTTCAGGAAAGGGTTGCAAAGTACCTTTCAAATTTCCCAGAGACTGTAGTTGCTTTAAAATTACGACATTTATTAATCTGTATTTGTTTCATTATTTGTGGTGCCACATTCAATATACACATTGTGATAGTGTTCAGCCTGAATATAATGAAAAATGTAATTTAAATGCTTAGTTGAGTAAAACGCCCAAATCCTGGGTCTTTCAAAATACTTATACTTTTCCTCGCACTATTTACTGTTGCTTATGAAGCTCACTGTAACATTTTCTTTTATTTTTAAATGTCAAGCCCTTTTAATGCTAATAAAAATTAAGAACTACCCACACTGGTTTTTCTGTGACAAAGCATTTGTTAAGTGTAGCATCCCTCATGATAGTTCATATCCTTTGCTGAGTGAGTAACATGGAATTGGAGAGAGGTTTTATAAATGCAACACTGGTGAAGAGGTTAAAGAAATGTAATCAGTTCGAAAGAGGATCTGGAGTCTCCTCAACACACCACAGTCTAGGAAAGAAAAAGTTCTTTGCCCTAGTTTGTAGGTTTAAAAAATATTAAATTAATGGATGCATGTCTATTTTCTTTTTTTTTTTCCTCCATTAAGCCATATTGAATTTTGGAAGTCTAAAGAAGTTGAAAAAATAAAATAAATGCCAATTTAAAAGTTGATTCTATCTGAACATTTATGAAAACCCCAAGATATCAACTCTGTAATTGATGCTTCTTGAAAATTGCGAGTGATCTCTGGCAGATAAAAATTTAGCCAAAAAATAATAGTGGCTTGATTTCAAGTGCAAAATAAATCCTTTCTGTAAGTTATGTTTTCCTTGGCTATGAAAGACTGAAAGAAATTAGCGACTATATTAAAAAAAATAAGAATGTGGAAGGAAACATTAATAAAGGGTGTCACATAAAATCTGAAAATGAAAAGATATGATTTGTTTCTATATTAAAGAAATTTCTTAAATAAAAACTGTCAAAAGACAATGCTCTTATTATGGTCCTAATTCAACAAAGCAACTACCTACCTGTATAAAATACATACTTAATTTTATGTATATTTTTTAGATCTGTTACCTCAGTGACAGTACTTGTATTTTAGCATTGGGTTAAGTATTTCAAAAACTGGAGCCAAGAGAGCCTTAATCCAGACAAAACCAGCAAAAGTTAAGTAAATCACAATAAATATTAAAAAAAAAACCATAAAGGGAGAAATGGCTTGGAAACAGACTTTCAACCTAAGATTCTTGAAAGCAGATGCCAATGTGCTGTGTTCATCTCACCTACCTCAGAAATCTGTAATGTGCTTTGTCCTTTGATAAAAAAATCTTCAAA